CCCAGAAATAGGCTGAAACGGAATAGGGCCTGCAGGCCCTCGTATTTCAGCTTTCAGGCTGAAACGACCGGGGCCTGTAAGCCCTATTTTCTAGGCTTTTAGGCTGAAAGTGTGGGACGGGCCCTGCAGGCCCGTGTGGCTACGCAGTATGCCACACCCCCCCCTCCTTGAAAGACCGAGTTTACCTGCGAGGGCGAGGCTGTCTGTCTGAGGGAGGGACCACAGTCCGGGTAGGAGGGGGCAGGTCGTGGAGGTCCCCTGGCTAACCTTTGTGGCTCATAGTGAGCGTAGATCAGTGGTGCGGATGCTTTCAAATCTGCTCCAGAAATCCACTGAGTGTCGTCGGGATCGCATGCTCGGAATGTAACTTTGTACTGTCGCGGCTTGCTGCCGTACTTGCGATCCGAAATGACGCGGTCAACCTCCTGATGACCAGCCATAGATGGAGGGTCCTGCGATCGTCGGCCCGGGAAGTCATCGCTCTTAGCTGGTGTATGTGTTGCCAGCTTTGACGCGTGGAAGACTGGATGGACCGTCAGATGCTCGGGAATGTTGATCACAAATGAAGGGCCATCGGGCTCATCGCCCGCGGCTGATGTCACAGACCATGGTCCAAACCACTTAGGAAGCAGTTCGCGTGAAACATCCTGTTCCAGTGCAAACTCTTCCGCGGAGACCCAAAATAGATCACCGGCGTGGATGGGACATGGCACGCGACGCCTATTGGCTTGCTGCTGCATGCGAACTTGAGCCTTTTGCATGTTCGTGCGGGCTTGAGTCAGCAATTCCCTGTACTTCCGGACGGAAGAGGGAGAGCAAGCAGCGTCAATGTCGGCTGGTCGAGGGAGGAGAAGGTCGGCGAAGATACGGTCTTTCCGTCTACCGTGGTGCAACTCGAATGGAGTCACGCCGATCGCCGGGTGCACCGAAGTTTTGTAGGCGAACTCGATGTCGGGGAGGCGGTCAACCCAATCTTTCTGGTCCAACCGGATTAGCGTACGAAGCATCATTTGAGCGGTTTGATGTGCCCGCTCCGTTTGCCCGTCCGTCTGTGGATGCCGAGCCGAACTTGGTTTCATCTTCGTGTCGGACTCCTTCATGAGAGCAGTCCAAAATGCCGACATGAAGCGAGTGTCGCGGTCGCTGACTACGTCTTCTGGTACGCCGTGGCCACAAATCCAACAGGTGTGCAGGAGGCGTGCCAACTCGGGAGCCGTGAAGTAGTACTTGCAAGGAAGAAAACGTGCGTACTTACTCAATCGGTCCACAACCGTGAGGATGCCGTCGTGCCCGAGCCGGTCGCGAGGGAACGAACTGGTGACGTCCATGGCAATGGAGAGACCGGGTTCCCGTGGGATAGGCATCGGGCGTAACTCGCCATAGGGATTGCAGTTGCGGGGTTTGCTGCGTCGGCAAACTTCGCAGGAGTCGCAATACCGAGTGACATCGGTAATGAGGTCGGGCCATCGGAATCGCTGTCGAAGTCGTGCAATAGTGCGGTTGACTCCGAAATGGCCGGCGAGTCGCGAGTCATGGTACTCCTCGAGAAGGCGAGTCCGAAGACGACGGTCTCGTGGGGCACACAATAAGTCCTTGCCTCTCGAGTGGAGGAGCAAGTACCCATCGGCAATGCGATAGTGGCCGACCGGCGGGTGATCCGAAGATAGTTGTGCATACAGCGTGGCGAAATCCGGATCAGACTCATATGCCCGGATGAAGTGTCGCTGAAGCTCCTCGTCGAATGCGAAGGCATGATGTGTCATAGCGCAAAGATCAGGTCTTCGTGAGAGTGCATCTGCTGCGCGATTTGAGAGGTCGGGAAGATGTTTCGGTGTGAAGTCAAATTGGCCGATGAAGTACATCCACTGTCCGATCGTGCTGCTCACCGTATGCTGCGTCTTGTAGTAGGTCAATGGATTGTTGTCCGTAACCCATGTGAACCTACGACGCCCAAGGAGGAAGTGTCGCCATCGCTTGAGAGCCATCACGAACGCGAGCAGCTCCTTCTTCCTTGCATCATCAAGCGAGTTGATGGGAGGCACTTTGTGGCTGAAATACTCCACAGGATGCCAATTGTCGCCGTCGTGTTGTTCCAAGACTGCCCCAATGCCATAGCCGGAAGCGTCCGTAGTCACTCTCGTAGGCAGGACGGGGTCATAGATGCTAAGGACGGGTGCCATGAGCATGGCCGTCTTGAGTGCTTGGAATGACTAGCGTGTGTCGTCATCGAATACGAATGGCACCTTTGGCGACTGTAACCTCGTCATAGGTGCAGCAATCCTGGAGTATCCGATGATGAATCGCTGATAGTAGCCCGCCAATCCCAAAATGAATGAACGAACGTCCGTGGTGTTGGTGGGCTCGGGCCATACTCTTAGGGCCTCGATCTTGTCCGCAAGCGGACGGATGCCTTGCGGCGTCACATAATGTCCCAAGTACTCCAGCTCCTGCTGCACGAATTTGCACTTGTCGCGGTTGGCTTTGTACTTGGCTTGTCGTAGCCGCTCCAAAACGGTGCGCAGGTGTTCCACATGCTCCTCCAAACTCCGGCTGTACACCAGGATGTCGTCGAGGTAGATAAGTACGTATCGATCCAGCATGTGTCGGAAGTCCGTTGTCATAGCCGCTTGGAAAGTGGCCGGGGCATTTGTAAGGCCAAATGGCATAACCAGCCATTCAAAATGCCCATATCGCGTCTTAAATGCGGTCTTGTAGAGATTCTCCTACCGGATCTCGAGTTGGTGATATCCTGACTTGAGATCGAGCTTGGAGAAGAACTTGGCGCCGCCCAGTCGCTCGAGAAGATCTTCGATGCGTGGGAGAGGGCCGACGTTTCTGATCGTCTGCGCGTTGAGCTTGCGATAATCGATGCACAACCGCAAATCCTTGTTCTTCTTCCGGACGAAGAGAACAGGAGCACCGTATGGCGATGAGCTAGGTCGAATCCAGCCTTTTTCCAGAAGGTCGTCGAGTTGTGCCCGAAGCACACTTAACTCTTCCTCGCTCATTCGGGAGATGCAACCGCGTGGAGGTACGGCCCCGTCCTCGAGGATGATCTCGTGGCGGATGGGCCGATCCGGTACTACTCCGTGCGGGCCTTTGAACACGTCGCTGTAGGCGTGGAGAAGCTCAGTGATGCGTGGATCCGAAGAAGAGTCCGTCGAGGAAGCGTCATGGGGCGGGAGGGCGTGGAGAAAACACACCCCCATCTCCTCGATGTCGTCTCTGATGATGGAAGCTCGCATGCTTGCAGCGAATACCACGTGACAGCTGACTGAAGGGTGAGGAGGAGCTACCGTGCATGGGACTAGTACTCCGTTCCGATCACCAAACTGTTGCATATTGTAACTGTGCAGACCAGAACAAGAACCGACCTCTCAATACAAAGTACAAGATGGCGAAGCGGAAGACTTAGATACAGGTGATCCGAACAATCAATGTTGCAATGCAGCCCTGAACATACATCATCATCATCATCCCTGAGTGTGAAAGGGGTCTGGCGCTTCACACAGGAAGACTGCGCCAGCCCCACACATACACAGACGAAGAAGAGGGGGGTTAGACGAAGAGGAGGGAAA